CTTTTTTTAAAATTTTTTTTTTTTTTTTTTTTTTTTTTTTCCCCAAAATGTACTGTTCTCGAGATATCCAACAATTATATAAATGGCCAAACATTTTCCGATCCCATGTTTAGATACAAAATCCCAAGGATTTAATTATAGCGTGATTTACGGGGCGACTTTTATTCGCTAGAAGCTGCATCTAGTGACGTCATTAATTCGCCAGTGAATTTTCTCGATTCTGTTGCTATTCGCTTGAAGCAAGTTTCTTAATCCGCGCTGATGAAAGCTTCTTGTACACGCTTGATTTTTATTCGCTAGCGATCAAAATTTTGAAGTCAGCGTTAAGTGATCGCTAGTGATCAAGCGAATAGTTGGTCACAAAGCACAACAGTGGCTCGAAGTATCATTCGACATATTCTTTGATGCTTATGGCCTAAGTGGCCAAGGCGTTTCGGAAAAATTCGTCTTTTCACGCTGACGACTTAAAAATTTGCTCTAGAGGAGCAGCAAGAAACTAACGACAAGCCAGCGACAAGCTAGCGACAAGCGGTATTCACCGCGACTGTACGGTATAAGAACAAACCCACATCTAGAAGAAGTTTTTAGTAGCGAACGAAAGTTCGCTACTAAAAACTATGACATTACTAGACGCGGCTTTTAGCGAATAAAAGTCGCCCCGTGTAAATCACGTTCATTCAGAATACTTATTTCAAATCTGATCTTTCGATTGGTATATACGTTAGTCTTTTTTAATATCGCTTCTGCAGAGTAGCACGTTTCCTTATTAAGAATCTCTAAGTGGAAGAGATATCTTATTCGTCTTTCTTCTCCCCTTTTTGCGATCGCAGATGACGACGGGATCTGCGTTTGCGGCTCCTGCGGTGCGTTCGCGTAACGGCGCCGCATAACGTGCGATGCAGACGATGCGGTATGCGGTATGCGGCGCGTCATAGTACCGTACGATCGTTGGTGCAAATTGCAGCGAGGGGGTAAGGAGGAGAAGGAGGACGATCCAACGATAGAAAGAGAGAGAGAGATAGAGAGAGAGAAACAGAGAGAGTAGTAAGAGCAATCCGGTCGTTCGTTAATCTGTGATCGTTCGAGCGCGAACGAGATATACACGTTCGTCGTTTTGCAAAAGCCGCATATGTATTAGAATGCGTGTAAAGCTGCTTAGAATACGAGCACGAATTACGTTTGCCAGCCGAATTATTTGTGTTACACGGATGTAATACCAGATGGAAATGATATTTGACCGGCGCAGTCCCGGTTCCGAATTTCCGATAACAATTTTACAAAATGTCAGAAATATGCCAACTATAGCAACGTTGTTGTTCATTAGTAGAATTATTTTTATTTATTTGATATGTTGTTGTTCCATATCTATACCTGATTTTAATTACGTTGGATTTTGACGTTATAGATACGTAGAAATGATATCCGAGCATCCCGGAGGGCGTTAGATCGAGTATCACCGTAACGATAAACATTGACCAGTAACCCGAAATTAGAGCGCATAAAACTGTCCGCGGTCGTTCGCTTCGCAGGATGAAAAATCGTGTCATTCGGACGTGTTGCGCTAAAAGGGCGCGTTATAATTTAACAGATAAATTATTCATACGTTAGGGCCTACACCCTGCCATTACGTGGACGAAGCACGTAGCTGAGCGGGGTGGTAGTGGACGAATTATGAATATTCAGAAGAGTTTCACACGTCGTAAATTTTAACTCGTCGCATGTTTCTGCTTTGCGGATGAACAATGAACGTGTAATAGCATAATCATTTCAGTAATGCATTTCCTCTTTTTTTTTCTAGTCTCGTAACGAACGTTACGAGTTTATCTTGGCTGCTAATAGTTCACTCGCTGCAAGCTGCGATGAATCGCGGAATTGACTGTCGGCCTAGTTATTAAGCAGGATTATTATTACTCGCGCAATATTGGGATCCCGGAGAAGCCGACAAGATGTAACTTCAACGACGGGGTTGAAGTTTAAGCTGCACCTGACTTTATCTCGCGATCGTAATATATGTGCATATGGGACTTCTATCGTTGAAGACATAATGTATGTATTGCCAAAGGCCTCACTCTTGCACATGGTTGCCTTTAGATTCTCTTGCTCGTCATTGTACAGAAACCTGAATTAGATAGGATGTTAATTGCCGTTCCCATATAAATGCAAGATCAATCGTGTCTAGTATATAGTTGTACAAAATGGAAGCCGAATGCATTGCATTTTTTGTAATAGTTATCGTGCTATTGTTCTTGATTACGAAGACAAAAAAAGGGAAAAGTTTTAACTAAGAATCCTATTTTAGACCGTAAATGTGAGAATCACGATCGATCGAA